AGTTCCAGACTAGCTCCACAAAGTTATAAGGAAATCCAATGTCCAACAGGGTTTCCTTAATAAAATTCCAGCTTAATCTGTCATAAGCTTTTTCTAGGTCTATTTTAATGGCCATCCACCCTTTCTTCCCTTTTTTATGATTCATCGAATGAATAACTTCTTGCGTGATAATAATGTTATCAGTTGTGTGCCTGTTTGGAACAAAGCTACACTGGTTTGGCCCCACCAGCCCCGCCATCATTCCACGTAGGCGACTTGCCAAAGCCTTGGTTAACACCTTATAGGCCACGTTGCACAGGCTAATCGGCCTCATTTGCTTTAAGGAGGACACGTTATCTACCTTAGGAATCAGAGTAATTAATGTGTGGTTAAGTGTTGCAACCTTTGAGGGTTCTACCTGGATGTCTCGAATTAATTGACAGAGAGATTCCCCTACCGTGCTCCATTGCGTCTGATAGAAAATTGCTTGGAATCCATCAGGCCCAGGCGCCTTGAGACTGCCCATATGTTTCAAAGCTGCGAAGATCTCATGGTCAGAAAGAGGAGCTTCTAAAATCTGCATATCACCAGAAGTTAACTCAGGGAAGGATTTGGATAAACAGAATGGTTCATGCCCACCAGAGTTCGTAAATAGTTCCATGTAAAACCGGTTGACCAAGTTTTCAAGCTTGGCCTTGTCCTCAATCCAGACACCAACTTCATCTTGTAATTTAATGATGCGATTTTTCCTTCTCCTTACCACTGTAGTTCCATGGAAGTAGCTCGTGTTGCGGTCACCTAACTCCAACCACTTGCACCTAGATTTTTGGAACCATAGAATCTCTTCTCGAATCAGAATATTTTCATATTGAGCCCATAGATCTTTAGAGAGGCTTTCGAGGAAAGGGTTGTAGCCTTGTCCTAGTTTAGCAGCAATCCCATCTAGTCTTCTTAACAATTTTCGTTTTGTGTAAAAGATGTTACCAAAAACCTCGCGGTTCCAAGTCTGGAGGTGATGTTGAATATCCTTAACATTGCTCAACCAATCAGATTCCTTCCCCCAGTTTGTCCGAATTATATTTGGAAAATCTGGGTGTGTAAGCCAAGCAGCCTCAAATCGGAAGGGGCGACGAGTTTTGTTTATTTGCACGGAATCATCAAGTTTTAATAGCAATGGACAATGATCCGATTTCATACGATTTAGGTGTAGTACAACAGCTTGTGGAAACAACATCTGCCAAGCCATGTTAGCTAAAACTCTGTCAAGACGTTCACATAAATTTCCTCTTTTCCATGTGAAATGTTCACCTTGGAAACCAAGGTCAATGAAATCACAGTCTTGCACCACCTCCCTGAAAGCTTGATCACCCCTGTAAGATGCAGTATGAGATCCTCCTTTCCGTTCAAAATCATGAAGCACAGCATTGAAATCTCCCATAATGCTCCATGGACCCTGAATGCCTCCTGCAATTCTTCTGAGGTCTCTCCATAACTCAACTCTGAATTGAGAGTGTGGGCTTCCATATACTGACGTAAAGGTCCAGGAATGTGAGTTGTTGGAGATAGAAACGTGAATAAATTGTTTGGAGTGTTCTAGAACGTCAAGTTTCCATAATGATGGATTCCAAAGAACCCAAAGACCACCTGACTGTCCAATCGCATCAACAACAAAACTCTTCTCAAGCTTTATGTGATTAAGAATCTTTTGGGCCTTAGCACCACTAATGTGCGTCTCTTGTAGGCATAAAACTCCCACGTTGAATTCATCGATCAAATCATTAATAAGATTCACAAACCCTCTACACCCTGTACCCCTACAATTCCAACTTAATAAATTCATAAAACTGTTTTAAAGAGTGGGTGTTGAAACCCTAATAGCCTCCTTACTCGCATCAACCTTTTGATCCATATGGGTCGCAGGACCATGCATGCCACTAGGATCTAGATGTCGTCGCATGAAGCTGGCAAACGCCATTGTTTGCTCGTCTGGATGAACAACACGAGTTATCAAATTCGTTCCATCATTCTGCCAATCACCTTTATATGAGGTTGTATTCTTGATGCCTTGTAGAACACGATCAGTATTAAGGGTTTCACGTGATGCATGCGCTTCGCGTTCCCATGACCTATCAACAGTCACATGAGGGTTTCCTTGGGTCTTTCCCTTCACAGAATTTTCCTTCTTTAATTCCATGTTGACTCCCTTTGATGGAGCGCTTTTCCCAGTCTGAAGGTTCAACTTATTCAAGGTTTGAGAATTCTTGCCACCCGTCTTGTTGCGGATCTTTACCACTTTTTGATTGGAATCACCTTGTCCCATGTCAGCATGATTAATTGGAACATAATCTTCCTTATTTGCTATTGAGTTCAGTTGAGATTTTGGGTCATAATCTTCATCATTAAAGTGGGAATCTTTCATATCTTCCACCTTATTTTTTGCCTTATTTGTAGGTTCCCGAATATTATTCTTATATGGTTTTCTGTTTCGTTTCACCACCATCCATGGCCCATACTGGTCTTCCGAATCCCTGGTTTTCTGCTGTGAAATATTTTTTATCTCACTTTGGTTCTGATTAACCGAATTCTGGTTCGTCGTCTTCACCATGGCCCCGTTTGAGCCATTATCCACCTCCATAGACACTTGATCTTTCGCCCTTTCGGGCTGGTCCTCTTCTCCAAGCCTTTCATGGGGACAATTTGACTGCTTATGGCCATAGCGTCCACATTTAAAACATATCGAATGGAGGCCCTCGTATTCGAGTTTCAAGATATGGCCTAATACATTAATCTGTGGGACAAGCTTTTTTTGTAGATCAATCTCCACGCAGATTCTAGCAAAGCGTCCTCGGGATTGAATTGACGTAAGCTTATCAATCTTTAGCATTGACCCTAGATTGCTACCAACTCTCCATAAGAATCTATCATTGAAGAGTTCAATAGGTAAACCAGGAATCCTTATCCAAACTGCCACTTTCCGAGTTTGTGCGGCAGTGATTGTGAAGAATGGCCGCCAGCGTTGGACCACAATGTAGTGGTCAGCAATTAGCCAGGGTCCTTCATATAACGCATGTTTATAGTCTTCTTCGGAAGCGAACTGGACTAGATAATATTCTTGTGATAGATCAACCAGCCTTACTGCACCAGTCTTGGCCCATTCTCGTTGGATTTTGTTATCTAGCATTCTATAGGTAACTTTTTTTCCAAGTACATGTATCACCAACGAACTTCTCCAAGGCGCACACCATTCTTCAAACTCTTCTTGAGAGACATGAATTTTTGGGCATGGATCTAGCTCTTCACCATCTCCGGTATCTAAATCTTTTTCCTTATAAAACTCATCCTCAGGGTTTTCCATCTCTTGGATCAGAGTTCTGAAATCTGTGAAAATCTTCCCTCCACCAGTTGACATCAAGCTTTCCATGTATGACTTAGCGGGGCTTTTAGTGCACTCGTTCTCAACTCCCTCCATGCCGCTTCCTTCTTCAATCATCACTGGGTCTTCATGATCACCCCTCTTCGTTTTGACTTTCTTGGAGCTTCGAAAAGAAGGATCATCATCAGGCAAAATCTCCGTCTCTAAAACCATACGTGCATGGACTACCGTATTTCTTGACCTGTGTATTGTTATATTTGATATTATTAGATAATGACTTATATTGGTTATTATTATTTTATGGGCATTACATATAATTTTTTTTATTAGACCTGAAATTGTGACATCGTTTGACTATTGGTAAGTTTTGTTCTGATAATAATTTTCCACAAGTATTTATATTTGTACTATATTTCTTGACATTGCACTAACCTTTCAACCATTAAGTAGAATTGTCTTAATCTTTTGTAGAAAAAAAAAGAAAAAAAAAGGAAAGATATTTATAGGAATAGATTTACAAGGATTTTACTAAACAATGGAATCTTCATTAAAATATCATTTTAACTGAAATTAAAAAGATTTAATTTTAATAATTCAATCATCAAATATTTTAAAATTAATTCAATAAATAATTTTAATAGATAAAAATATTTGTAGTTACACAATATTATAGTTAATATTTATATTTTAAAATGTATATTATGCTTGAAATTGAATTTATTTAATATATCTAATATTTTTACAAATTTATGAAATTAGTAAACTGAATCTATTGATAAGAAATTTTAATTTAACTATTACATTTATATAAAAAAATTTAAATTATAATTATTATAAAGATTTATCGTTATTGTTGTGCAAATATGAGGAATTCATATTTTATTTTAGTTGTAAAAATACTTGATTTTGTTAGAAGAAAATGACTTGAATAAGATTTTTTAAATTCACTAATATTAGTTATATTTGCAAAAAAGCATACATGTACATTGCACAGAATTGATCAGATATTTATTATGATCAAGACTGTTCTAATGATAATTTGAAGATGTAGCTGTTCAGGTTCATTATTAAGAGGGATCCAATTTATTTTATGTTAATAGTAACATGAAGTTAGAATAAATTAATATTTAAATAAAAATTATAATAAATTTATATTATATGCAATTAACTTAAACAAGTTATTTAAATAAAAGTATTAAAACTAAAATAAAATGGAGAAAAAGTATTTTTTTTAAAAAGAGAGAATACATCATCTTATAATTAAATTGAATTAGAAAAATTAGATTTAAAAATAAGTGCATACATCTATATATATATATAATTATTTTTATATAATTAATAAATTTTAAATATAATTTTTCTATTATAAATAAGTACATGTCTTTTAAATATATCAATTAAAAACTATTATAAATATAACTCCTTTTTTTCAGCATTATTAAAATAACTTTTAAAATAATAATTATTTTATCTCACACAATGATTTATAATTATTCATTAATGTATAATTATAATAAATTATATAAAACGAATATGTATATTGTTTTTTTTTCCTTTTCAAGAATTAATAACAAGATGAAAGATATTTTTTAAAGGAAAAAAAAAAGGTGAAAAATGGCATATAATCTCTCCTCCACATCCTGGGCGAAGTACAGTGTAAGTGTAGTATGCATTCCTCACCTCACTCTCACTCTCACTCTCACTGTGTTCGCTCTCTTCTCTCTTCTCAAACCCTAATTCTCCAATCCTCAATCAATGGCAATCCTCTCTCAATCCACCGCAAGCTTCTCCCCCTCCTTTGTTTTCACTCGCTCCGATTCCACTCGCTTTCCCTGCCACGTCACCTTCCGCACCCGCTCATCTCCTCGCCGCGTCGCCGTCTCTTCGCGTCTCAATTCCTCCAAGTCCCCCGGCGCCGGAGGCTCCCTCTCGCCGGACAACGGTGATGTCGCCTATGAGCTCCACCATGATTACTCGCCGCAGCGCTGCCGTAACGGATCGCCGGTGTTCGTCACGATGCCAGTAAAGTCTGTAGGCCCGGAGGGCCGGGTGGCCAGGCCCAAGACCATTATGTTCTCACTCAAGGCGCTCGCCTCGGCTGGTGTTGAAGGCGTGGTCATTGAGATTTGGTGGGGTCTGGTGGAGAAGAACGAACCTAGGGCTTACGATTGGAGAGGCTACGAGGAGCTCTTCATGATGGCGTGCAAGTGTGGCCTCAAGGTTCGAGTGGTTCTCGCGTTTCATCAGCATGGCACGGGTCCCGATGATCCCAATTGGTAATGTGGTAACTGTTTGAGATCGCAATATAGCTAAATTATTGTATATAAATGGCGGACCATATGATTTTCGATGTTGAGTTAAGTCTAAACATAAATTTTAAGATATTAAAGATTGGATCACTTGTTAATAGTTAGTTCTATAAACTTCAGACACCATCTTCTTGAAAGAGTCTTTCACATATAAAAGTCTATTCCATTATCAACAAATATCCAGTTCTGTAAAATGCATAATGCATCAACAAATATCCAATTTTGTAAACTGCATAATGCACGAGATAAGTCTGGTCATTATGTTGAGAGACTGTAAGATAATTCTTAAAACTTCATGCAAGAGACAATTATTGTCATCTTCTTGATATTATAATGACACATATCAGAATTTATCTTATAGATCGAATAATTTGTAATTGGGCCGATATCTGATTATCCACAAATATTTATTTCGGTAAACTTTCATCACACATGAGATAAGTCTGGTCATTGTCTTGAGAGTACCAGAAATCCCAGACAACCCTTACTTTATGAACTAGCTTTAAGAGTTGAATTAGGTTAAATTTAAATTCCAAGAGTAATTTCTTTTTCTTGGATTATGTTTTAATACTGTGGGAAAATGATAATTCTAGTGTGAAATTGTGTTTTTCAATACTGTATGGGCATTTGACCTAGGTGGTGTTGATGATCCAAGTAGAGTTGATTTGGTTTATTTTGAATTATTATTACTATTTTTGTAGGTAGGTATTGTTTCCTAGTCATGAGCCTCATACTCTCGAAGTTTGTCCCCCTTGTGTAGGATACCGCTTCCTCTATGGGTGCTTGATGAGATACAGAAAGATGTAGAGTTAGCTTATTGTGACAGGTTTGGAAGAAGAAATATTGAATACATTTCACTTGGATGTGATATTCTTCCTGTGCTACGTGGACGTTCTCCTGTTCAAGTATATGCAGATTTTATGAGGGATTTTAGGGACAGCTTTAGGAATTTGTTTGGTGTTATCATCACAGTAAGGTTCTATAATGATTTTGTGATGTTACAATTCAATGAGGATTCAAATCCCCAGATATTATTATTGGATGTTGTAATATGTGTAACCCTGTTTATTTTTCAGGGTGTACAGATTGGCATGGGTCCTGGTGGTGAACTAAGATATCCTTCATTTTCTTCACAGGAGCCAATTTTGGCTTGGTCTCGTGAACTTGGAGAGTTTCAGTGCTATGATAAGGTAGACTTGTTATCGCTGTTTGTTATGGGAGACTGGCAATAACCAATTTGCATACTTTATGATGTTCAATGATTAGTATCATGTTTAACCTTTGTCTTCACTTGTTTGCCACCTGCCAGTATATGCTTGCTTCTCTAAATGCCTCTGCAAGAAATATTGGAAAGCGAGAATGGGGAAATGGTGGTCCAGTTGGTGCTGGAAGTTTGATGCAAAATCCTGAGCATACTGATTTTTTCAAAAATGATGGTGGCTCTTGGAACACACCATATGGTAAATTTTTCCTTGAATGGTACTCAGATATGTTGCTGCTGCATGGGGAGAGAATTTGTAGGGAAGCTGAAGCTATTTTTAGGGGTATAGAAGTTCATATATCAGCAAAATTGGCTGCCATTCACTGGCACTATATCCTGCAATCCCATCCATCAGAGTTAACAGCTGGCTATTATAATACTTTTAACAGGGATGGATACTTACCCTTTGCTCGCTTGTTTAGTAAGTATGGATTCTCAATGTGCTGTTCTTGTTTTGAAATGCAAGATGAAGTAATGAAGAAGATCAATCCAGATAGTAGCCCTGAAGGTTTTCTTAGACAGCTTTTGCTGGCTGCTAGGCTCTGTGACATATCACTTGAAGGTCAAAATTTTTCAACTAATTTGGATGATGGTGCTTTCTCCCAGGTGCTGAAGATGTCCAAATTTTACTCGGATGGGATTGAGAAGCGTCCTTTCTCATTCAACTTTGTAAGAATGGACAAAAGATTGTTTGAATTCCGAAATTGGGATCGGTTTACTCGTTTTGTGAGACAAATGTCTGATGGAAACATTTTTCGAGCCAGATTAAATGCTGTTGGTGACATACGGTTGAAGACCACACCAGGGATGGCAGAAGTGGGACTGTTGTACCACCTATATCAGCACTCTTGAAACTAGTCTTGGCCTCTGTTCTTTAGGCACATTTACTATTACTGCCATCGTTGCAAGAAAATCTGATGACTTATGGTCTAATGTTGTGAAATGTGTAGTATTGCTGATTCTTCGAATGATTCTTTTATTGCTTTTTGGCAAGAAGTTACTTCCCTAAGGTAACACATTACATTGCCTTCCAGGTTTTTTTTGATGGGTGGCATGTTATCCACTTGTACCTGTATTTTGAGTAGATAGATATATATATATATAAAAAAACGTTACTGTTGGTATCTTGGTTCTCCACACCACTTTTTAATCTTTTGTTCTGTTGAGATGGACTCTTGATGGCTTTGTATTGCTTTCTGGTAGATATATCTTAAAAGAGCAGATTGTTCTCATTTCAAGCTTGTGTACATTTACCATCAATCTTGTTACATTTCATATCGCGGTTGGAAAATTGTTTAAATAATCATGTCTCTTTGAGCTTATATTTTCCCTGAAAAATGTGTTGGTGTTGTTTCTGATGCAAATTGAGGGGCAACATAAAAAGAAAAACTGTGTAACATAACTTTTTTTTGGTGGATGTTTGGTGGTAGATGTTCAACACAGACAAATTTAGATTTGGTGCCGGGGTTGCGCTGGGTAGGATGTCCATTGGCCTTAACAGGGGTTTGTCCAATTTGATGAATACCTTTTACTTTCAAGTGATGTTGTATGAGACGAGAAGTTATTTCTAAATTTGTTAAGTGCCAAATATCTGACTTTTGGTTTGTATTTTATTTTTGTATGGTTTTGTTTTATATACTTTTAAATCATGCTATAAAGCAAGTATTAATATACAGTCTAATCTATCAATTTTAAATGAAATAAATTGCATTATGTGACAGATTTGTCAAAGCATTAAGCCAACAGAATTCAGCATATTGTAAATCCGCAACTTACTCTTTGTTGTTTATTTCCGCTGAGTGGGAGCCTTCTACTTAGTTTAGGATGATGTTATAACGAATTATGAAAGGACAATATATTATACTCAACTATTTTGTCTAAAAAAATTGTAAATTTGACAATAAAAATTATTTAAATGGAGTAAAATGTTTGTGTGAGAACGTAATGTCATTTATCTTCAAAATGAAGATTGCAAAAGGAAAATAAAAGTCAAAAATTAGGAAAAATAAATGATTCTTAAACATTATTATATCCACAAACAAATCTTCCAAATAAAAATAATCATTTTCATATTAAAATATCATATATACTATAATTTCAAAATTTAAAAGTTATGGGCCTAAGGCTCCGAACCTCTCGTAAGTCTGTCCTTGCCTTTAAACTTTGAAGTTCAATTTTCACCAATATAACGTAAATTTGAACGCATAGTTATATAAAATATTCATTTGAGTTTGGCTATACTTTGCGATCATAAATGACTTCAACATCTTCGTCCATTTTAGTAATCTCACTTTTATAGTGTGTTTAGATGAGAAATTTAAATAGAGTAATTCATTTATTTGAAGAATTTCAAATTCTTTGAGGTGAAATACCTTATTTGGATAGAGAATTTATAAGGAATTTGAAATTCAAGCATTTGTGACTTTCCTTGAAACAGTAGAATTTCAAATTCTCTAAAAAAAGTAAGAATTTGAAATTCCTCATATGATTACAATTATGCAATTTTGATCCTCAATGTTTTAATTGGGTAACTTTAGTCCCTAAAGAATTGTAATTGTGCAATTTTGGTCCTTTAATTTTTAATTGAACAATTTTAGTTTCTCGAATATCACAAACTCTTTAACATTATAAAAATATAACATAGCAATTTTTATAAATAAATATTATAAAATATTTAATTCTTGTAAGTAAGCTTTAAAAAAATCAACATAATATTTTTCAAGACTATTGAATTTTTTTTACAAAAATTATTAGATAAATTATATACTATAAATTTTAAAAAACAAATATATAGGCATTTAACCTCATCATCGAAATCAACTTCTTCATGTTTTTGTAAACATTTGTCTTCTAAATTTATGTATTATAATTTATTAACTCTTTAACATTATAAAAATATAACATAGCAATTTTTATAAATAAATATTATAAAATATTTAATTCTTGTAAGTAAGCTTTAAAAAAATCAACATAATATTTTTCAAGACTATTGAATTTTTTTTACAAAAATTATTAGATAAATTATATACTATAAATTTTAAAAAACAAATATATAGGCATTTAACCTCATCATCGAAATCAACTTCTTCATGTTTTTGTAAACATTTGTCTTCTAAATTTATGTATTATAATTTATTAACTCTTTAACATTATAAAAATATAACATAGCAATTTTTATAAATAAATATTATAAAATATTTAATTCTTGTAAGTAAGCTTTAAAAAAATCAACATAATATTTTTCAAGACTATTGAATTTTTTTTACAAAAATTATTAGATAAATTATATACTATAAATTTTAAAAAACAAATATATAGGCATTTAACCTCATCATCGAAATCAACTTCTTCATGTTTTTGTAAACATTTGTCTTCTAAATTTATGTATTATTTTGGTCCAGTAATACCAATATAAATTACATGATAAGAAAATAAATGATTAGATAATTTAAATTAATAATTAAAATAAAAAATAAAAAATAATTTTAATCGATAAACAAAGTTTAATTATTTATTACCTTATTACCTGTGCTTCAATCAACTTTGTGCACACATAAGTGCCTCCAGAGTAAATTCATAAAGTCTATAATGATGAAGACTAAAAAATCTACCTCGTGTGTTAAATGCAGAATCTGAAGTTATGCTTGAAATTATTAGTATTGCCAACATCTTTAATAATTTTTTATAAAATTGGATACTTGATTTCATTTGTTTTTCATCATCCAAGAATGTCAAAAGTAACATTCATAGGCAAAAAAATTTCTTCTAAGTAGAACTTTATTTCAGACTTTATTTATGTTTCAATTGTATCAGTCACAAATAAGTCATAATCACTAAAAAAAATTAAATATTTAGATTATCCAAATTTTTGATTCATTGACATTTACTCGTGAAGTTGGAAAATTTACTATTCTCTTAATTTTAGTTTGATACCCTTTAAACTATGAGTAGCATAGTTTTTGATATTATTAATTTTAATTGGAGATGAACTATCATAAATTTAGGAAAAAATACCCTAACAACTTCAACTTATATATTAGATATAAAATAATAACAATATTATTATAATAATTAATATATATATACATATATAATTGCGGGACGAGATGGGTTGGGTACTATAGTACCCATACTCACACCTGTAGTCACTAAATTTTGTAAATTTGTACACACCTCGTACTCATTCCCATATAAACAAGTATTTATATGTCTTACATGGGAGTGTTTTTACATGTGTTCGTAAGATCTGGATCCATTTGACCATCCTATATTTCATGAAACATAAATGCTAATTAGCATTCTATTATTTTAAAAGTTTTAACATATTTTTATTACTTTATATAATTAAATGTGATTTTCTTAATTAAAAAAGACTATTAATTATTCAACAAAGTCAACTCTAAATTTTATCGTATAAAATATTATAAGAGTGGTAACAGAAATACTAACAGATATACATAAGAGTAATGGAATTTAATAAGCCTTTAAATTAATTTATTTTATATTTAATATTAATCTTTTATATATTTATCATTAAGTTTAACATATTAATTAATTTATGCATCATGCTGCGACTAATTTTTACATACTAATTTTCGACATATACACGACAAATTTTTTAATCAATATAAGCTTTTCATATGAGTAAAACCAATTTCAAATCTTATGAAAAAATATGATTAAAAGAAATAATTAACTAAAAGTGATCGGTTAAATTTTTTTTATAAAAATAAACTCGATAAATATTCTACATTATAAAAAATATAATAAATTTATTAATCTTTATTATAATTATATCAAAAGTTTTTCCTGTTATATAATAAATTAGTCAATTATAATTATATATTATAATGTTAATAAATATTATTTAAACAATATAAATAAAAAAAACATTTTGAAACAGAAGAAAGCTTAAAACATAAAAAAAAAGTATAGAGAAAATAATTAATATTATATTAAAAAGTGAGAATATCAATCATTTTGAGATATTTTTTAAATACTAAAATTGCAATCAAGTCGGGACAAACGAAGAATATACTCCTTTCATCCCAAATTAATTACAATTTTAACATTTAAAAATTCAAAAAAAATAATTGATATTCTCACTGTTTAATATAATATTAATTATTTTTTCAAAATTTTCCTTTCATTAATTATTCGATTATTACTATTAAAAATAATGCATTTGTTGAATGTGTGGGGTATAAAAAAGTGATACATTTATACATAGTAATAAATAGTTAAAATAAAAATAAAAAGACTTAATTGCATTTTTGATCCCTAAAGTATTACAATTATGCAATTTTGATCCTCAATGTTTTAATTGGGTAACTTTAGTCCCTAAAGAATTGTAATTGTGCAATTTTGGTCCTTTAATTTTTAATTGAACAATTTTAGTTTCTCGAATATCACAATTGTGCAATTTTAGTCCCTCAAATATCATAATTAGAAATTAAAGTAATTCAAATACCAAGAATTTAAAATTTCTTTAATTTATAAAATTCTTCATCCAAACAGATCATTAAAGTTTTCTCAAATTTCCTTACCATTTTATAATATTAATCTATTTAAGCTTAGAAACATGTAGTATCACTTTTTTTTTTATCCTTTTCATTTTATTCTAGGACAGATTCTTTTTATCTTTTTACTAAAATTGTACTGCCCCAAAATAGGTATCTGAGTGAATTTTAGGTTAGTTATCATATCAAGAGCCCAACATAATATTCTTCCTTTATATAAACTTGGACTAAACATAATATCATAAGCAACGGTAGGCTTAAACTAAAGTTGGATTGTTGTTTTCATATCTGCTCTATCCCAGATTCCTAAGGTTGACAGCGAGAATTATTCCCCTAAAAAATTATATATGAAAATTAAACTTTATTAATTTAATAATTAAATTAATTTTTAATTAAATAAATTAAGTCTTTAAAATTTTAAAAATTATAAAATCATTTCATATTTTTTAAAATAAATCCAATTTAACGCATTTTCTATCACTAAAAAAAATATTACAATGACATTGAGGGTCAATTAAGTTTTGGTTATTAACTCCAATTCTCGCTGATTGTGGCAAGGGCGATAAAGGGACTCATGATTTGATGAGAAAAATAAATAATATGGT